CAAGGACAAGAGTACAGCTGACACCGCAAACCCTGTGTTCAAGCTCTATGCCTTACTCAGCTACCTAGTGACCAAGGGCACGTTATTTAACCTTTCTGCATATCTTATTTGCTCACCCAAGATAGGTTCAACTTTACACAGTTACTCTAAGGACTAAACCAGCTTCGTATAAACTTTAAAAAGAATTGCAACATATACTTATTATTATACCAGACACCCAGAGTAAAATCTAGGGAATCCTATTGTAGTCATAATTTTTTTTCTCTTGTTTAGGTCATTTTCTCTATCCTTTAGAGACAGCCATCCAACAGAAATAGAATGTGAGCCACAAAGTAAGCCCGATAGAAAAATTTTAACTTTTAACAGCCATACTGAGAAAGGAAAAGAGGGGAGGTTCCTTTAATTATATATTTTCTTGAACCTCAGATATCCAAAATATCACCAGGTCAACATGGAATCACTGTAGGAGTCATGAATAAGCCATTCTACATTTTCAAACAGTGTCTATTTCGTACGAACAACACATCTTAGTCTGCACGGCCATGTCTGGAATGCACAACACAAGCTGGGGCCGGTGGCTCCTGCCCCGCGAGACCTTTCCTGGGCTTCCTTCTGCCCCTGTGGCTTTTTCAGGATCGGGAACACTGTGCAAGGCCAGCAGTGATGTCACCACGGTGGTCAGTTCTCCAGGACAGCACGGACTTGCAAGTATGGCCCATTTTTCAACATCATGGGGACATTTTGCTCCTCTATTTTACAAGAATGGGGCAGTCGCACATGTCCCGCCAGTGGCCACTGGGAGCCTGGGTCAGTGTGGGGAGACACCGTCGTCCTCTCGGGGGGACACGGGACTCGGAATAGCGTCCCCACGGAACAGTCGCCTGAGCAAACACACGGGCACGTGGCTGCGCTGGCAGAGCTGCGCCGACGCAGAGGGCTCGGACGAGGGAAGCTCTGTCGTCAAAGGGAAGAAACTCTGCCAGTGGATCACCACTCTCCTCGTCTACAGTGATGGGAAAAGAGGTATAATGAGGCAGTCCGTGGAGGGGCAGGCACTCCTCCATTTCCTACGCTGGGCTACCTCCCCCTCGGGCGGGAGGCCCTCTGGTACCTCGAGCTCCCATCAAGCCTCCCAAGGAGGGGCCGCACCTCGGTCTTTCAGTGCTAGAGGAAATCCCTTCTGCTCTGAAGAAACCCCAGAGACAGAGCCCAGATCCTCCCTCTGCGATTTGCACCATCCCATCGGCCGCTTCTCAGCCCCCTAGTGCACCGTGCTCACTGGCGCTAACGCAGACTTCCCTCCCAGTGCTTCCAACACGCTCCTCCAGGTGTGCGTTCCGATCATAAAATGAAGAAAATAATTTCAGAGGAGCGACAAGAAGCTGAGACTTGAGCAGCTGAGTTCATGGCACCGTGCGTGCCATCCCCTTCCCCGGCGGAGGAGGCGGACATGGCGGCCGCCCTCATTCCGATGACGGCTTCTTTAGGACATTTCCAACCAGGGGGGAGAATTGGGGATGACCGCGGGAGAGACACTGTCTGTGGGCTGGACCAGAGGACTGCCTGGCTTTCCGACCTGTCACATAACCAGACCCTGTGGCCGAATGCTTGCATCATCTTTCCTGCTGTTTGTAAGAGGGATTTGAGGACCAGGGGCTGCATGGTAAAGACATGGGTGACAGGAAATTGCCTGTGGCCTTTAGAATAATTCCTGGTACGTACACCCGTGACCTTCTGTCCTAATCCAATGTGGGGAATGTGTAATTGATTGGGGACAAGCAGGGATCTGGAAGCACAGATTTCACCCAGTAACCTCGAAGTGCTTGATGTAATCAGCGCTCAGTGTTAGCATCACGGCCATTTTTCTCTCTAGTTCAGGGAAGGGGAACACTATACCTGAAGGGGTCGGGTTCACAGCACTGCATGACATTATCCGACTGTCCGGCTCCCAGCACCCTGTGATGGGAAGCAAGGCTGTTTCCTAGTGAAACCAGGCACAACACTGACATGGTCTGCAAGGAGTGGTGGATGCCGAATCTGCTTCCTCAGCTAGCACTGCTGCTGGAGTAGTTTCCTGCTTTGGAAGACCTGAGGTGCAGCTTTTGACGAGCCTCCTACCCCAACAGCTGGTGACAGCTAAGTATACCTGGCACCTCTACCGGTCTCCTGCTTCTTAGGGATGTCTGCAGCTGGTCATCTTGTCTAGACCCATCCGCTTCCTTGTGGGAGACACACATTTCCTGAGGGCCTACACCCGCACCTTGCACACTCCGCCGGGTGAGTGCGGTGCCTTCTCCAGCCCTCTCCCGCTCAGCACAAAGGTCAGGCCAAAAGGTCTCAGGGGCATCGCTTCGTCCCAGGCTTAGATGAATACCCTGAAATCGCTCCTATTCTGCCAAAAGAATATAATCCTGGATGACAGAATTTTGTGGGCAAGAAGACAACTCATATATTTAGGTTGGCTTTTGTTTACTAATCTTGTGTATTTTTTAATTTTGCTGATGCCCACTTTGCAGTAGAGTTTGGGATCTTTCTGTGTGTGTGCATGTATGTGTGTACACGCACACACACACGTGCATGTATATATGAAAAAGATATGCACATGGCTTTTTAAAAATTAAATTAAATCCCCTGCTAAGCAATTGGTCCTGTCACAAGAAATCTTTTTAAAGATATAATATCAAGGCATTCTAGGACCCTCACGCTCTCTCATTCGGAAGTATTTATTTAGTGACATCATGGGTCAAGCATTAGGCTGGGTACTGAGGACTCGGAAACCAGACGCAGACTTAGCTCTCATACTGATGTGGGGCTCCAGGAAATGGTGATCAGGAAACAAACAATGACAAGGAGCGACTGCATCGGACTGGGGACATAGGGCAGGGGCATCGAAAAGCCAGGCTAGGAGGGCCCGTTGGCAGCGAAAGGGAGCACCCTTTGAGGCGGGCTCTGGGGGTGTCTGGCACATTGGGAACTGCAGCCCGAGTGGACACTGGCCAGGTCAGAGGCAGGGGTGTTGGAGGGACAGTGTTCTAGGAAGAGGGCACGACACGAAACGCATGCTCCATAAGGGGTGTGAAGAGCACGAGCTTCTCTCGCTTGACCTAATCCAACACTTTCTTGACTGGACAGGGTTGAGGATAACTACTCTCAAAGTGCACATTGAGGGCCGGGGATATTGCTCAGCAACACAGCGCCTGCCTGGCAAGCCTGAGGTCATGAGTTCGATTCCCAGTACCAAAAAAAAAAAAAAAATCAAACTGCACATCGACAACTGAACAAAATCCCTGCTACTCAAATCCATTCCAGCCGTCCCGGTCACATTCTCCCAAGTCCTCCAGCCACTCTGCGGCAACCCAGTTCCATGGAAGGTCTCATTTCCTGTTGGAGGCGGCTTCCTTATAAGCCCAAGCTTGGATTCCAGAAAAGCACATACAGCACAGCAGACGGGCCACTCACCCATGAACCCTTCCCACCCATTCTTAACCATGTGCAGCTTCAGATGTTAGGGAGTGAAAGAGTCTCTAATTGAAAAGATCTCGCTCAACTTTATGGTTTTCCTTTAATGCCTGACTAGCCTGAATCCAAACCACAAGTTTGACTTTTCATGAGGGTGCAGGCCAGTCTGGCCTCATAAGGACACTGCATGTAGGGAGAAGTGTATTTGTAATAGTGGGCAGACTATTTTTTTTTAAAGAAATGTATTTAAGTCTGGGTGAATAATTAGGTAATAATTGTTATCTCTTTCTGGAATTTATGCAGCTCTTAACAAAGACGATGGTGACTTATGGTGACTTGGAAAATGCTAGTGGAGGACAATGTGAAGTGGAAAAATAAAATGTAGTGAATCATATGTACATTATGATTACAACCATGTGAGAAAGTTAAATATGAAAAATGTTGGATAGAAATCCACCGAAATGAGAAAAGTGGTTGAATTAGTGTGGTATGATTGTAAATATTTCCATTTTTTATATTTCCTATATTGTATTTGTAACATCTTTAAATGTGAATCCTCGTAAAAGTCCCAACTCTTAGGGTGAGCAATTTGAGCTCTTTTAAGTGTGAGTCGCACATACGAGTAAAAGAGGACACGGTCTGCACGTGGCTGTCCCTGCGGCACTGTATCACCTCCCCCAAGTGAGCGAGCCTGTGCACCAGGCCCGCCTCCAGCCCACTGGTAAACTACTGGTAGCATTTCCATGGCAACATCTACAGAGGAGGAGTCACAGTGCCCTCAGAACCTGAGAAAGACATTTGAGAACATCAAGCCGAAGGCATTACCAAAGGTGAAGTCCAACAACACATTTCAAAGCTCTTTGAATCAGATTTCTAAACATCATCACTCCTTAGGGCTCAGGGTAAAATAATGGTCTTTACCAAGACAAGATGGGCACCACCTCCATCTACAGTTCCAATGACTTCCAATGACCCCAATGTAGTCTTAGATTGGGAAGAAATTGGTTGATTTTCTATGCTTCTGCTTCTCCAGATGTTCACAGTGGCGGTAATGTGCACCGGTGGGACAGGGGAGAAGGGCCCAAGTAGCCCTCAGAGGGAAGGCAAGCATAGATTCTTGCTCAACAACTATGAGAGATCAACTTGAAGAGAATAAACTGTTTTCTGTCTCCTCAGAGCAAGGGAAACTAAATCAGCTTTAGTTACAGCGGAAGTTATTCAGGTTACATTACCACAAACTCTTTCCAAGCAGAAAGAATAGCTAATGGCAGTTGCGGAATTTCCTTTTCTAGAGATTTGTAACAATAGGTTAGATGTACATCTGGTCTTGAATGCCTCAGGCACGGCATACCCAGAAACAGACTGAACAAAAATAGCACGCCCACAAAGCACTAGGGTGTGTCCCAGCCATTCTCCCACGGATTTTAACAGATAGAGATTTAAGAACAGTAGACACCCTCCCCCGCCATCCCTCCATGAATCAACCTCTGAATCCCATTAGTATCAGAGCAAACTCAGAAAGCTGACCAGAAGGGCTTTACCTGTACTAGGAGTTCCAGCTTCCTGTCATCAAGAAGATGTACTTGACATCGACGGCCCTCCGTCATCTAAGAGGGAAGAGAAACGGTGGTTACTGAGAGTCCAGAAGTCAGATAAAGTGTTGGAAGCTCCCTACCCTGGCTCCGCCAAGCAAATTCCTCTGGGTGAAGCTTTCCGTGGGGAGTTGGCACCACACAAAGCCAAGGAGCGGCAAGACTGCTTCATTCAGAAATTCAAAAATATTCACTGAGCACTTTCTGTGTAGCAGGCACTATTTTGGAAGCTGGGTATAAAGTGTTTAGATAATTTAATTTTAATAAAGATGGATTTATTTTGAATAACTAGCGTCCAAATTTTTGTAAATGTAGTAATGGCTGTCATGAGCCAGCTCCTTCCAGGCCAGTATCTCACATGACTTGATAGCTCCCATGAAAGACGCTGTTCCCCAGTAACCAGCCTCCTTCAGCAGACAAAAAGAAAGGGCACACAGAAGCAGAACCTGGCCTTGTCTCATTGCAGGGCCGTTGGAGTGTTTCTCATGAGCACTTTCTCCGGGAAAGATGGTTCTCTTCTCTCAGTATCAGACAGGAAATATTCTCTGACCATCCGCATGTCCAAAACTATCCTGTGATAGCCTATGAGAAAATTCCCTTATTCCTACCTCAAAGCAATCATCTCATCATGCTTTCATGGAGTCAGATGTCTCTAGTTTTAAGATCAAATTAATCAGTGTATATGGCTTGGACTGGTCAAATCTCAAATAGCTCTGAATTCTTAGTTATCATAATGACTCAGCACTCTTCAGCTCAGAAAAATATCAAAAGTTTCACCAACCCCAAAGTACTCTATCAAAGAGTTTAAAACTGCTTGGAAACCTGGGTAGAACCTCAGCCTGCAGGCTTACCATATTACACATACAGGTCAGACCAGGAGGCTGTGGAGAAGAGATACATCTATGAGAAGTCTTTATTCACTCTTTGAACTCAATAAGTAGGCTGGAGTCCTAACAGAATCACGCACACAGTAGGCGTTCTGATTGACTTAATTTTAAAAGTCCATCAGCTTCATTTTAATCATTCTACTGTCAGGTTCAATGAAAGCCATCACATTTTACAGTCAGACCAACATCTGTGCTGCCACACCACATACACAGATGATTCCTTCATCAAAACAGTACACCAAAGAAGTACAATTCAAAATTCAAATGTGCAGCTAACAGTCATTGCACAGATCTAGAGCTATGGAAAGTCGCTTCCCCTTCGGAAGGTTCATGGAGTGAAGTTCTAGGGAGGGAAGTGGTGCAATCACCCAGCACATCCTTTGAAAAATGTGTTGCAGGTTTGAGAGAATTCTCAGGAGAGGAGATATGGGAAGAGTTTTATGGAAGAAACGCTGCTTGTGCTTTGCACCTTTCAAACAAAGTTTTGAGTTGCCTTACACTGCAGAATATGAAGTGTATGCACATGCTTTCAAGTCACTTACTCAGATTCTAATAAATTTTATGAAAACAACTCGGTATCTGAAAGATGGTACTATAGCAAATAACCACAGTAATAAAAACAAAGAGCTAGTTCATCACTTTCTCAAAAATATTTCAAAGCATGTGAAGTTTGGAATTAATCAATGTAAATGTTAAAAGATTTACCCTGAAGGTCTTAGTTTCATCTGGAAAACAAAATTTTCATTAAATTAAATAACCTAACTTCATCGGCTCAGCAATTCAAGGAAATAGCTTGTTGTTGTTAGGGTTTAGAAGGGAAACAATTTAATACAGGACACATACTTTACACGATTATTTTATAATATTCATCCAAAGGGTCAAATGCAAAAGAGTGTGGGAGATCTGTCCATGCACTAGAGACCCAAAGACTCCGGCTGAGGGCCTGGATCCCAAGGCAATGTCCTGCACGAGTCCAGCTGAAGACCTAGAGCCCATGGCAGTATCCTGCATGAGTCCACCTGGAGTCCAACTAGAGCTCATGACAATGTCTCATGCAAGTCTGTATCAATGATATGCACTGGGAAGGCAAAGGTCAGTGGCAGAAGCTAGAAAGTCTGCACCAGCGGGATGGAAGATCTGTGTCAGCAGGCTGAGGGATGTGCACTGGAGCCAGGAAGCAATGCTCAAGGTAAAGACCAGAGCTCCCCTAAAGAGAACGGCAGCCATCCTCAGTGACAGTGAGGACCCGAGCTCTTCCAATGATTCCTGAGTTCCTATCGGGAAAACCCTGTAACAATCTTTTCCAGAAGAATCAACAGCACACCATCTTCCCCTCCAGTTCCCTTTTTATGCTGTTGGCAGCAGTCCTCTGGTCGGCCCTCCACACCCAGCACCATGCTGATTCAGTTTAGCTGGGTGTTCCAAGTTGACCATTAGTTAATCCACAACAGTCCACCCCTGGTCAACTTAACAACCAGACACATTTCCTTAAACCATAGTTTTCAGTGGCAGATTTGTGAGAAGTTAACATGTCTTGGTCTATTCAGATTTACATTAGTATAACAATTACATGTATACAATTCTTATTGCACTCATTTCTACACCAAAAGCAAACTATTCAAAGGGTATTCAAAATTCAAGGTTAAAACCATAATAATTTGACTAATTAACCTGATCACAAACATGTCTCTAAAAACTACATTAAAATTATATTAAAAGAGCTGTTATAATCACAATCCTTGCTTCCCATTAATTTAACAACAGGCCATGGCAACACTAAAAACCAGGAATCTCCTGCATCTTAAATAATTTCTTCCCTTCCCTACTGGTGAAAGGTCATTTTTCACTGTCCTGTTTCTTCTCAATAATCACGTTCTCCTCTACTTAATCCTTGCAATCCACAGTTCCACTGGAGCCTTCCTTCTGGCCAAACGTTTCAGTCACCCTACTGGTCCTTCACTCTTCATTCTGAACATAGATCTGGCCAAAAGCTCTCAACAGTAATCACGCCACCCTCCCAATAGCAGACTGCATTGAAATTTTTCTGCCACCCGTGCACTATCTTTAAACACAAACAAATGCAGACCAACTTCCTGTCAAAGCACAATATGTAACAGGTGGGATCCATCAGCCAATGAAGTCCTCAAGAGAGACCTTCTGAATGTTGGCCTAACCGGCAGCATTTCCATTAGTAATCTGATTTTCCAGGCTCTGACCAGAGTCTCGCATGTAGTTTATAGTGCACAAGGCTGCCTCTTAGGCCAGTCTCTCTGGCCCTCTAAATTAATTCCAAAGCATCTTAAGCCACATGGCCAGGCAACGACACAGCAATGACGCCCCTTCTGGTACCAAATTCAGTCTTTGTTACTTTTCTCTCATTGCTGAGACAAAATACCCAACACCCACAAGTTAAGTGGGGAAAGGTATATTTAGTTCACAGTTTGTGGAGCTTTTAGTCCATAATCAGCTGGCTCCAAGACAGAGTGGCACATGGCTGAGGGGCAACAGTTCATAGAAGCAGAAAACAGCAGAAGTAATGAGAGAGAGAGAGAGAGACAGAGACAGAGAGAGAGAGAGGGAGAGAGAGTAGAGCCTCTCTCTCTCCCATATATTATACGGACTCTAATGGGGTTAGGGTGGTGCCAATCCAATCAGTGGACTAATCCAGCGACCCACCCTTAATCCCAGCATTGCACCTCTGAAAAAACCCAAGAGGCTTTGCGGGGGACATCTAGACACAAACCATGACACAAACCATAACACAGTTATGTACGGAGATGTCACTATCTACTCCCAGGGAATTTTCAAGCAGCCTCATATTTCAAATATCCCTGCAAAAAGTTGGCACAGAGAAGAGAGTCTGAACCAAAACTCACGTGTGAGTCATGCTTGTGAAGGTACAACTTCCTGTGACAGTGGTGCTGCGTCTTGTTTCTCAAAGGAACACCTGTTTGTTCTATTCTCCAGTAAGGCTGGAACGCCCTGTTTTCATCATCAGTTCAAAAAAAGGTCACCCTCGAGGGTGTGTACCGACAGAGCAGACATCTGTAGCTTTGTTTGGCTTGCGAGCCACACTGAAATTTTCTTCTGAATACTAACAATCGTAAAATAATACTGCTTTCCTTTTTTTTTTTTCATTTTCAGCTGCTCGGGCACAAGTAGAGCCTTGGCATCACCCTCAAAGGAAATCCTTTGGAAAACAAGGCTTCACATAGATGCAGCTGGCATTTATTCGAACCACAAACTGTCTTACTACAATGCAATTCCATACCAAGCCCAGGCCTGCCAAGCGCCCCGTGACTAAAAGAGATGGGTGGAAAAGTGTTGTTTTGAAAGCGAGGTGTCCACCCTAATTCATCCAGCCTTGCTGTTAAGACGCACTCTGAGTCATGAAGATTATGCGTAAACAGAGACAACAGTTGTGATTCTAGCTAAAGCAGGCACAGCAGAATATTGCACGAAGCAAGATATGCACACACAGCAGCCAGTACAACTGTCCTGCACTGGAACAGGGATTAGAAGGCACAATTAGAGGCATCAGATGTGCGAAGGCAGCAGACTTACGGGTGGCTCTTTTCCACCCTGCCCCACCCAAATACTATTTAACAACTTGTTCCCATTTTTTTTCAGTTAAGAGGGTAAAAAAGTACTTCATCTAGAAAGATGAATGATACCATTTGAGGTCAGCCATAGGAAATGGAGCTTGACAACATTTTTACTCAGCAAATTCGATTAGCTGGACTTCTATTTTTAACACATGAAATCAAGTTTACTAATTTATAAATGAGAACCAGAGCTGTCACTGGGGCCAGACTACTCACAATCGAATGCCGACACGTCCTCTCCCTGCACACGGCGTGAACAGGAAGCCAACTGTGACCTGAAGTGGTCCCGGAAAGGCAGGATCCGGCAGGGGAGGGTGGAGACGTCTAGGTTTGAGGACATCCACCTGCGACAGCTCAGGTGGGAACTGTCACAGGATAGCAACCTTGGAAACAGGCAGGAGCCTGTTTTCACAGAAGTGCAAGGCAGCTGGGCAAATGTTAGCATAGCCACAGATCCTGGGCTCCCCCCCAAAAATGTGTGATTTAAAATAAAAACTAAAGAATAGCCAATCAACACATGCAA